GATAAGGGTCAGCACATGGGATCGGTCCATGGGTGTGATCCAGTGGGCTGGCCTAATCCCATGCCCTGGCCCAAGCTATGTACCCAGATCTGGCCAAGCACTGGTAGGATCTGGTGCACACAGACCCATGTTATCCAACCCATGGGGGCTCCCCAGTGGTCCAGAAATTTGGCAGCAGGGAGAAGCAATTCATGCCATCACCACCTCCCCACTGCCAAATTTCGAGACATTTGGGGAGTCCCACCAGGTGGATGACATAGTTCCATACACTGGATTTGGCCAGGGTTTGAACACCCATGATCTAGTCTAACTCTAGTCCACTCACTGAACCAGAGCCTTCTCTACAACAAGGTGGGCCAGGTGGTTATCAATGTACAGACTTTTGTCCAAACACAAAATATCATCTGCTCCAACTGCATTGTTATCACAGGTCCTCTCTACTCTGTACGTACCACTGTAGTTAATTATGGTGAGGCCACTCAAAGCAGACCCCTTTCCATAAGCAGTATGCTGTCTACAAGGACCTCTTCCCTTTGAAATGCTCCCTTCCCCATGATATTGTATTGAATGAAAGCATTGACCAACCCAATGTGGTTGAAAGGTCACTGCTGGACAGCCAAGGCATAGGAGGGTTGAACTTCTGTTTGCTGTGTGCGCATGGGTATGGGTTTGTACATGCATGCATGTATATGAAAGAGAGAGAAAAAATGTGTAGGTAGTGGTTATATGCATGGTTATTGGATGATGGGGGATAGGGCATGAGAAGGGTCAGTGGCTGCTTTTCTGGGTTTCTTACATTTTGTCACTTACAGAATCACAGAATCTTAGAAAATAAGGGTTGGAAGGGACTTCAGGAGGCCACATCTAGTTCAACCCCCTGCTCAAAGCAGGACTAACTAGATCATCCAAGGAAGTTATTCTTCCACTTTACTTAGCACTGCTGAGACCACAGCTGGAGTACTGTGTCCAGTTCTGGGCACCACACTTCAACAAAGATGTGGACAAGCTTGAGAGAGTCCAGAGAAGGGTCACCCGTATGATCAGAGACTTGCAAGACAAGACATACAAGGAAAGGCTGAGGGACCTGGGACTCTTCAACCTAAAGAAGAGAAGGCTGAGAGGGGACTTGATAGTGGCTTACCGCTACATCAGGGGAATGTATCAAGGGCTAAGCAAACAACGGTTCACCAAGACACCCTTGGGGAAAACCAGGACTCATGGCCACGAAGTCCTGGAAGACTATTTCAGGCTTAACACTAGGAAAAACTTCTTCACAGTCAGGGTGTCCAGACTGTGGAATAAGCTCCCTCCAGATGTGGTGCAATCACCTACCCTGGACATCTTCAAGACGAGACTAGATAGTCACCTTGCTGGGGCCACCTGACCCCAGTTGTCTTTCCAGCCTAGTGCAAGGGCTGGACCCAATGATCTTCCGATGTCCCTTCCAGCCCCTTACAATGTATGAATCTATGAGTCCCAACCAAGGCTTTGTCCAGCTGGGCCTTAAAAACCTCCAAGGATGGAGATCCCACCACCTCTCTGGGTAACTTTCTGCTATGCTTTACTGCCAACCTAGTGAGAAAATTCTTCCTAATATATATACTAAACTTCCCTTGCTGTGACTTGAGACTAGTGTTCCTTGTTCACTTCCCCAGCTTTCTGTTTAAATGTCTACCCAGGGTGCCCAGAGCTCTTAGTCTGGCACCTTTTAACGTGGCAATCACCTATCCTCTGAAAACCATGCCCCTCCCTCCTGGTTCACCCATGAGCAAGCCCATCAATTCCACAGCATAGGCCGCATGGGGAAGTGGTTACCAGCAATAGAGGGGACTCTACCAAATGGCCCAGTGGAGAGTCCTACCTCTCAAGGAGGAGGTCCTACCTCTCAAGCAGGAGGCATGGCTTGTTTCTTGGGGGCAGCCCAAGGCTCAGCAGAGAGGTAGCGTAGACCGTGCTATTACCGCACCTACCGAACTTCTACCCAGGAGTGATTCCACTCATCTCTGAACTGCAGCCTTCTCTACAGTAAAATGGGCCACAGGATTATCAATATACAACAGTTGAGAACAGGACACAAAAAACAGTGTCCCAATGAAACCCCAGTGAGGGAGAGAATGAATTCTACCCAGGTTGGATTTTAACACGATGCTGACCCTAATGCTCCAGCACTGGGGACAAAACCCATGGGATCTTTAATATCCCCAAGTGGACAAATCCTTGCCTTAATAGCCCATCACAATGATGATAATAGGAAGACAGAATAGTTTATGGAAAAAATGACCCTGACCCATGCTTGTTTTTATCCTTGAACTAAGGGTGAACTCTTCCCAACTATTATTTTTCCTCTGAGAACATTTTAAGGTTCTGGCATCATTTCCTATCTTTCTTAGGCATTAAGCTGAACCACTTTTCAAGTCCATTTTAAATGGTGACAATGCCCTCAAACAGATTCAGGGGGTGCAGTTGTGCCTTTGATTCCTGCTTCATCCAAACTTTCAAACCAACTGCCTGAGAGAAGCAGTGGCCTTTCTATTTAGGCAGCTCTGAAGGAGTCAATTGACTTCATGACTCTTTCTAATCTCCCTTCATTTCACAGGTGTTAACGACCCACTCTCATTTTTAATGGGCTTGATTTTCCACTATTCAAACCAACCTTTCTTTTGCAATGTTGCTGGTTTTCAGCCATTCCCAGGGATATCTCTTTTCTGTTTCACAGCCCTGTGGACTACTTGTAGTTCTAGCTAAAAAAACTTTCACCCAGGTGTGGTGATAGTAATTCAGGTGTAGAAATGACTGACACTGAAGTACTGGAAGCACTGTCAAGACACGCAGGTAGATTAGTGTTTGTTTTATGACTCTGAATAAGAGCTGGACATTTAACTACAATGATCGCAGGACTAATGAAACCCCAGCTCTTGCCTATTTTTCCCTGAGTTTGTGTTTTTAAGCTTAATATGTTATCCAAGAAATGAGTGCACATTGCAATAAAGCTACATTTGCTTGTGGTTTTATTGTTAACTGAATAATGTAGTGCCAGACCCGTAGCATGTTAATAAAGTCCTAGTTTCTCTTTAACTGGAGAAAAACATGGGATGTGTTATATGTAATGATATACCCCCTTTTCAAAATCCTCGGTCTGCTCATGAATGCACTCATGCTTTAGAAAAATGAATAGATATCCTTAAAGGGGCCTGTAACAGGAAACCCCTGACCCTGTTGCTAGGAAGGCCTAGGAAGGTAGGAAACCCTGAGCCAGGAAGGGCAACAAGGAGTTGTGGTCCAGGTGGACTGAGCCAGGGACTAAAAAGCTCAGATGGCTAATGAGGCAATTAGCTGCACGTGGTCCCTGGGTGCAGACCATCTGATCACAAGGCTGGAAGTAAACTGAGCTTGGGGGATATAACCCCATTCTTGGACTATGCAAGGGTCCCTTCGTGGAACAGGGAGAGAAGCTCCCAGGAGAGAGGGGCTGCTGGAGATGGGCAGGTAAGCACCCAAGCCAGCCAGGGGAGCTGGGGTGAGATGGCTCTGATGGAGGCAGGGCTTGTGGGCTGCATTTACCCTAAGAAAGGGAGACTATCTTTTTGCATTTATGTTCTGTTTTGAACATAAGACCTGAGGACTGGGTTGTGGATACAGGGGTGGGAGAGGCTGCTGCCAAGGCAGAGCTGATACCCAGGGGCTGAGGTCTTAGTGAAGAAAGGCTGAGGGTGCAGCAGGAGAAAAAGGGAGCCAAGGCTGCAACCACTGAAGCCCCAACAGGTGCTCAGTGACTTCACGACTCTTGTCGTGATGTTGGGATGTGGGAGCATCCCTTTAAAGGGGAAGCACTTGAAGGAGAGCACAGGCCCCCAGTGGGAGGCTGGCTTAGCCAGGCAGGCAAGATGACCAGTGAGGCTACCTCCATTTCCAGGGACTGCCTCCCCCAACAACAAGCAAGTTAATATCAAAGTTGTGGCAGGCGAGAGACCGGCGGTGAGGTGGGGCTGGGAAACAGCTGGCAAATGGGTGGGACCACAGAAGAGGGGATCAGATGCTGGGGTGGCAGACCCCCCACAAAGGCACCACGGGGCCACATCGATATTATACCATTTTGCTGGTTTTCACCCCTAGGCTCTAGGGCTATGAGCCCAACTAATTTTGCCAGTCCTGAAATTTGGTTGAACTGCTCTTTCATTGAGGACAGGGCAGAGTTGCACCTTGTACACTAATTCAGAAATGCATACACTCTCATAAGCACCAACTCGCTCTATCAGATGCCACGAAAGGACTTCCAGGGAGACGGCATTCAAATATAAAGCATGATTTAAATACAAAGAACAGGGAGGAGGACAAAGAGGAGTAGCAAAAGAGACAAAGCAAAGCAGTAAACCCATAGGGGTCATAAAAACGAACCCAGGTAGTGTGATAAGAGTCCATAGTCTCTGTTTAGAGTTTAGACCATATTTAACACAATCCAGTTTGTGGATGGCTTCCTGTTCCAACATTTCCCATTCAAATTGGTTTTAAAGTTTTGCTGTTTGAGAACAGCTGCTCTGAGGTCAATAATGGGACATCCAGGGAGGTTTAAGTGCTCTGCACAGGCTTGCATGTCTTCCTGGAATCACTGTCAAATCAGTGCTCACTCATTCCTTCACACAGGGATCACACCGTCTGTTCAGTGTAGACAGCAGAGGGACACAATAAGTAGGTGATGGCATATATGGCACTGGTAGAGGAGCAGGTGCATGAACCCCTGATGTTATAACCCACGTTGTTTGTTCCTATGAAGATGTGGTTGGTGTTGATGAGGGGGCACAGCTGGTGTCTGGGTCCATTGCAAGACCTGGTGCCTTGGTGAGAATAGGGGTTTGGGAAACTTGACCCTGCCTTCATAGGTCAAGGGATGACTTCATACTAACAGCTAACCAAGTTGATCTGTCTCTGCATTGCAACTGCATGGCATGGCTGCATGGTTTTCCCTCCCTATACAGAGCCCCCAGCTGTGAATCATCCAGGTGTCTCCCTTACACTACATTTGCACTCAGACTCAAATCTGGTTTCTCTGAGGGCAGCCTTGGTATTGGCATTTGGGCCACTAACTTAAGAAGACAAGCCATCTGCTACCACTCAGTCCTCTTCTGCTTGCTCTCTGCATCTGGGTACCTCCTCCATCCACTGCAGTTCTTTTTCCTCTTGTACTAGAAGCATGGGATGCTGCTTCTTGGGCCAGAGGACTAAGGGCCAGCATTTTAAGGGGATTTAGGAGCCTTCACTGAGCAACATGCAACCCCTTGTCAGTCATCTATCCATGACGAGTGGGATTTCTCACCCTGTGTGGGGCAGTTTAAAGCTGCCTGTACTGCCTGTATGGTTTGGGTACCTGAGACTGGGATTGTCAGCAGCCAAGTGTCTGAGCAAGAAGCCACCTTCCCTAGCCAGAACTGATAAGCTGAGAAGAGGGGTAAGGAGAGGAGAGGAGAGTTAGGAGCCTAAGCACTGATCCAGTGCACCTAGCTGATGGACCAGAGGTGGGTGTCTCTCTGTGGACACCCTCAGCTAGGCACCCTCTCCTAGAGTCATCTAAGTGGTGCATCTCGAGTAAAGCCAAGGAGGTGATCCTCTCCCTCTACGCGACGCTGGTCAGGCCACAGCTGGAGTATTGTATCCAGTTCTGTGCGCCCCATTTCAAGAGGGATGTGGACAACATGGAGAGGGTCCAGAGGAGGGCCCCCGCATGATCCGGGGACAACAGGACAGACCCTACAGTGAGAGACTGCGGGACCTGAACCTATTCAGCCTCCACAAGAGAAGGCTAAGGGGGGACCTGGTGACCATCTATAAACTCACTAGGGGGGACCAGAAGGGTTTGGGGGAGACGCTGTTTCCCCTAGCGCCCGCTGGCATAACAAGGAGTAATGGGCACAAG